ATACAAATTTTAGATAAACATTTTTCTCAGAGTAACTATGTTATCTTTTGTGCAAAATATATGACATTTATATTCAAAATATTCCTGGTCTTACAAGGAATCCAGCAATGTCAATTATATTATCCTAACTTTAGTTTGAGGTATTATTTATTACAAAAAAGTTAAGTATTCTGGTTTCCCACACATCTCCTTGGGACGGTTGGTGGGGGGTGGGGGGGAGGGAGGGACCGACCGACCATCTGTTACCCCGTGAAGAATTTTTTTTTTTTATTAACTGAAGATATTTGTTTTAGCTCATAAAATTCATACAAATTACCCGGTCTGAATATAATTTACATTGCTGGAATTCTTATAATTTGATGATCATTTTGAATATAAACATCATATATTTTGCATTAGACATACAAATTTTAGATAAAATTTTTCTCAGAGTAACTATGTTATCTTTTGTGCAAAATATATGACATTTATATTCAAAATATTCCTGGTCTTACAAGGAATCCAGCAATGTCAATTATATTATCCTAACTTTAATCTGAGGTATTATTTAATACTAAATGTTAAAAACTCTGGAAGGGAGGATTGGTGGGGGGTGGGGGGAGGGTTGGGACTGACCGCGCGGTTGGAAGAGGGGAGGAGGCAAGGTGGGGTACTTTGATTGATAGATAGTGTCGTGAAGATTATTTTTTTTTTTATTAACTGAAGATATTTGTTTTAGCTCATAAAATTCATACAAATTACCCGGTCAGAATATAATTTACATTGCTGGAATTCTTATAATTTGGTGATCATTTTGAATATAAACATCATATATTTTGCATTAAACATACAATTTTTAGATACAATTTTTTCTCTAGGTAACTATGTTATCTTTTGTGCAAAATATATGACATTTATATTCAAAATATTCCTGGTCTTACAAGGAATCCAGCAATGTCAATTGTATTATCCTAACTTTAGTTTGAGGTATTATTTATTAAAATTTAGTGGTTTTCCCCAAAAATTTCTCAGAGAGGGAAGAGCCGGCAGTGTAGTGTGAGAGGGGGAGGGAGTTGAGTCCATTATTTGAATGGACATTAACTTGGCGACTGTATTTGTCTATTTCTCTTAAGTATTAATTGTGTGCATGTACCATCATAAAATTAAGATGTTATTTTTACTACAACATAGGTATGTGCCTTCAAAAAGTGGAGTTTGGGGGTCGGGCCGGTTTCTATTGGAATTTATCCCATATGTTCTGTTGTTCACTTAACGCGGATTTCACTTAACACGGGACCCTCTGGGTTCTATTGACCGCGTTAAGTGGGGTACAACTGTACACTCGCTGGCTCTTCCCTCTGAGAAAATTTTGGGGGAAAATCCAGGTATAGTAATAAATAATTCCTCAAACTAAAATTAGGATAATATAATTGACATTGCTGGATTCCTTGTAAGACCAGGAATATTTTGAATATAAATGTCATATATTTTGCACAAAAGATAACATATTTACTCAGAATAAACTTTACATCAAAAATTTGTATGTCTAATGCAAAATCTATGATGTTTATATTCAAAATGATCACCAAATTGTAAGAATTCCAGCAAATTAAACTATATTCTGGCCGGGTAATTTGTATGAAATTTATGAGCTAAAACAAATATCTTCAGTTAATAACAAAAAAAAAATATTCTCCACAACACTATCTGTCAATCAAAGTACCCCAACTTGCCTCCCCCCCTCTTCCAACCGCGCGGTCAGTCCCAACCCTCCCCCCCCACCCCCCACCAATCCTCCCTTCAAGAGTTTTTAACATTTAGTATTAAATAATACCTCAGATTAAAGTTAGGATAATATAATTGACATTGCTGGATTCCTTGTAAGACCAGGAATATTTTGAATATAAATGTCATATATTTTGCACAAAAGATAACATATTTACTCAAGAGTAAGCATTACATCTAAAATTTGTATGTCTAATGCAAAATCTATGATGTTTATATTCAAAATGATCATCAAATTATAAGAATTCCAGCAATGTAAATTATATTCTGACCGGGTAATTTGTATGAATTTTATGAGCTAAAACAAATATCTTCAGTTACTAAAAAAAAAAAAAAAATATTCTTCACTGTAACAGATGGTCTGTCGGTCGGTACCTCCCTCCCCCCCACCCACCGTCTCACCAGATGTGTGGGAAAACCAGAATATTTACCTATATAGTAATAAATAATACCTCAAACTAAAGTTAGGATAATATAATTGACATTGCTGGATTCCTTTAAAGCCCAGGAATATTTTGAATACAAATGTCAAATATTTTGCACAAAAAATAACATATTTACTCAGAATAAACTTTACAGTCAACCCTCACTTTACGCGGTCCCACATTCCGCGTTTCCACGTTTACGCGGTGCCCTGCCAGAACCCAGGATGCTCACATTCAGCGGTGGATGTACCCCTTTACACGGTGAAGTATAATTTTTTTTAATTTAGCTCATAAAATTCATACAAATTATCCGGCCAGAATATAATTTACATTGCTGGAATTCTTACAATTTGATGATCATTTTGAATATAAACATCATAGATTTTGCATTAGACATACAAATTTTAGATATAATGTTTACTCTTGAGTAAATATGTTATCTTTTGTGCAAAATATATGATATTTATATTCAAAATATTCCTGGTCTTACAAGGAATCCAGCAATGTCAATTATATTATCCTAACTTTAGTCTGATTTATTATTTATTACTAAAAAGGTAAACAGTCTGTTATTCCCACACATTTATCTAGTAGGGACGGTTGGTGGGGGGTGGGGGGAGGGAGGGAGGGACCGGCGACCGACCATCTGTTACCGTGTGAAGAATATATTTTTTTTTTATTAACTGAAGATTTTTATTTTAGCTCATAAAATTCATACAAATTACCCGGCCAGAATATAATTTGCATTGCTGGAATTCTTACAATTTGGTGATCATTTTGAATATAAACATCATATATTTTGCATTAGACATAAAATTTTTAGATAAAATGTTTAATCTGAGTAAGTATGTTATCTTTTGTGCAAAATATATGACGTTTATATTCAAAATATTCCTGGTCTTACAAGGAATCCAGCAATGTCAATTATATTATCCTAACTTTAATCTGAGGTATTATTTAATACAAAATGTTAAAATCTAAATTTTTCACCCAACCTCTCTTGAAGGGAGGATTGGTGGGGGTGGGGGGGGAGGGTTGGGACTGGCTTGGATTGGAAGAGAGCAAGGTAAGTACTTTGATTGACAAAGATAGTGTTAAGTAGGAAGAATATTTTTTTTTATTAACAGATATTGTTGCTGGAATTACAATTTGGATTTGAGGTGGTATTTGTTACTATGCCTGGTTTTCCTCCAGAGGCGGCAGTGTGGTGTGAGGAGAGTGCATTCATTATTTGAATGGACATTAACTTGGCGACTGTATTTCTCTATTTCTCTTAAGTATTAATTGTGTGCATGTACCATCATAAAATTAAGATGTTATTTTTACTACAACATAGTTATGTGTCGTCAAAAAGTGGAGTTTGGGGATCGGCCTGGACTCCATTTCAATTAATCCCATATGTTATGTTATTCACTTTACGCGTTTCTCGCTTTCCGCGGTACCCTCCGGGTTACATTAACCGCGTAAAGTGAGGGTTAACTGTATATCTAAAATTTGTATGTCTAATGCAAAGTCTATGATGTTTATATTCAAAATGATCATCATATTGTAAGAATTCCAGCAATGTAAATTATATTCTGGCTGGGTAATTTGTATGAATTTTATGAGCTAAAACAGGCAGTCAGGCAGGGTGGCGGGTGGGGGGAATCTAAAAATAGCTCTCGAGCCGGACACTCACCGCGTATATGTGGAAAAAACCCGCGTTAAGTGAAAGTTCAGCTCTGGCAAGGCACCGCGTATATGGTAAAACGCGCTAAGTGAAACCCAGTTAGGTGGGGTAATACTGTATAATTATGCTATAGTTTTCACAAGACAAAAATTTTAGAAATCATTTAGTATATTATTTTGAGTACATGTACAGTACAGCTTTGCCCTTAGGACAGTGTAGCGTGCCCAGAAAAACATTAACCGCAAATTTTAAAATATGATGCGTCAGATTGACTCGCGCAAAATAGGAAAGATTCTCTATACATTAAAACGTTGCCCTTAATTGTGGGTGTCGCTTTAAATCAATAATCTTTAATCGAATCGCTTTAATTTGACGTTCAGCTATATTATATTTTCTTTATTTATAAGACAGATCCTTCATATAGAGTGGAATAATGTTAAAGAATTAAATTTTTCAAGACACAAATTTTATCATCTTCAATTTTGATCACAGTCTCCTAAATTTCTGTAAGGGAAATCTTTAGCATACTCTTTACTCCAATTGTGCTTCTTACCTCAAATCTATCTTTATCATTGTAGATGTCTATATACTGTGCTCAACTTTCTTTTACCTTCAGTGTGCTGTACAGTATCTTCACTGCTCTTAACTTTTTATTGGGCCAATATGGAGTACCAATATGGAGTTAATCATTTTGACAGTCTCCAGTGATTGTCAGCCAAGAACTAAAGTAAAAGTGATCAGATTGACCCAAAATTGTTGAGAGGCAAGGAAATTCACAGATGGTGGGGCAGTGGCCATGGTAAGTACTGACAGAACAGTCTTGACTCTAACAAGCTTTTTGGTATCTCAGAGCAACTGGTGAACCTGTCCCCATTATTTGAAGTTAGTAGTACAGGGAAAGGGAAGAGTGATTGATATATCCAAATGAATTAACAAGGTAACCCTGGCTGACACTGGAGGACCCTGTCTAAGGATTCAAGGACCCACTAGTAACAAGTTCTATATTATGACTGCTGCCTGGCTAAAGAGTGACAACCATAAAATAAAAAGTTTCAGATACAGTACTGAAAAGGAAAGAAAGAGGAATCTATAACACAGTTGAGGCCCAATGACACTGAAAAATTAAATATGTGAATACTTACATGGCTATCTTTTAACTTCTCTAAAAGAATATTTTCAAGCTGATCTTTTGTAACCCAATCTGTAGCACCAATATCTCTGTAAAAAATTAAGAAATATTCTTCAGCCACAATAAAAGTATTTTAAAACTATTCTGGACATAATTTAATATATGCTAATAGTAAAGATTATAATAAACATAAAGTTACCATTTCAGTTTGCATACAAAGATAATAAAATGTACAGTCCTCCCCAAAAATATAATTAGCCATGGGGTCGATGTGATTCGAGGCTTTCCGAGCAATGTTATTCGACCGGTTTCTGAATGGTCAGTAGTTCTACTGTACATCAGCGACCTTTGAACATATTCAAGTAAGTTTTCAAATGATATATACCGGTACATTAATATACAGGTTGACTATCAAAAATCCGGCAACCGTTAAACCGGAACTTCAGTTTTCCGGCATGGATTTCAGAGCGCATTTTCAAATATTTCTTTGTTTATTTAATGAAGATATATGTTTTAGCTCATAAAATTCATACAAATTACCCGGCCAGAATATAATTTACATTGCTGGAATTCTTACAATTTGATGATCATTTTGAATATAAACATCATAGATTTTGCATTAGACATACAAATTTTAGATATAATGTTTACTCTGAGTAAATATGTTATCTTTTGTGCAAAATATATGACATTTATATTCAAAATATTCCTGGTCTTACAAGGAATCCAGCAATGTCAATTATATTATCCGAACTTCAGTCTGAGGTATTATTTATTACTAAAAAGGTAAAAAGTCTGGTTTTCCCACACATTTATCTGGTAGGGAGGGTTGGTGGGAGGTGGGGGGGGAGGGAGGGACCGCCTGACCATCTGGCACGGTGTGAAGAATATTTTTTTTTTTTATTAACTGAAGATATTTGTTTTAGCTCATAAAATTCATACAAATTACCCGGCCTGAATATAATTTACATTGCTGGAATTCTTACAATTTGATGATCATTTTGAATATAAACATCATAGATTTTGCATTAGACATACAAATTTTAGATATAATGTTTACTCTGACTAAATATGTTATCTTTTGTGCAAAATATATGACATTTATATTCAAAATATTCCAGGTCTTACAAGGAATCCAGCAATGTCAATTATATTATTCTAACTTAAGTGTTTAATTTTCTTTGTTTAAAGGACTGTACAGGTGGTCATTTTCTGTTAAACTTATACAGCAAATATAACCATCAGTTTTCCGGCATTTTCGAAAATCCGGCACTCCTCAGGTCCCGAGGTTGCCGGATTTTTGAGAGTCAACCTGTAGCTTAATGGATTTCATGTTATACAGGGTATTGAAATACAGTGGTCCCTCAGTTAACAAACAAAATTCGTTCCACAGAATCGTTCGTTAACCAAAAATTTCGTTAACCGAATCCATTGTTTCAATGGGATAATGGGTAATTGGTTCCAGCTCACAGAAAAGTATATACAAAGTAAAAAACAATGCAGTTAAGTACACTTAATTTGAGGTGTGTATGTAGAAGGTTCCTGGTTGATGATGATGATGGGAATTAGAAGTGGTGGTGGAGGAGAAGGGAGAAGAGGGATGGAGGAGAAATCACCTTTCAAGGGACCCATGCTTGATGCCGTCATTTCACCAATAAAATTTTAAGTTCACTAGGTGTAATTCAAGATTATTTTATTTAAATCAACACTGCACTGCTCTATATATTATCAATATGTTAACTACATTTCAGAATGGCCAATAATTTCAATGTAAAAATGAAAAACTATTCAAGACACCAACAAAACAGATGTTCACTCCACTGTCAACAAAGCCAAACTGACGCCTGGTGGCTGAGTCAAGTGACTGATAGGCGCACAAAAAACTAGTTCCCCGTACTGCATATATTATCCATATGTTAACTAAATTTTAAAATGACTAATAATTTTAATATAAAAAATGCAAAAATATTAAAGAGCACAACTTTCTTGATATTTACTGCACTGGAAACGAATGTAAACATAGAATAGATTACTGAATTGGCAGACTAGCCCATCAGCTCATCAGCTGATTCTCACAACAAAACATTTTGTTCGTAAGGATTTCGTTAATCAAAGTTTTGTTCGTTAACCGAATTGAAGATCCTTATGGGAGGTAATTCGTTAACCGAAATTTCGTCAATCGAACCGTTCGTTAACTGAGGGACCACTGTACAGTATATGTATGATAACTTGGAAATTTACATTCATAGCACAGTACGGTATAATACTGTACAATACTGAACTTACAGTGTTCTCTCCTGATCCTGATGAACGTTGTATCTGATCATCCGGTCTGAGAAACGGTCCAACTCGCGTACTTTCCCAGTCAAGTCCTGAAAAAACATACAGTACTATTAAATTAAATAATATTTAAGTGGTACAGTATTTAAAAACTATTCCAGTGCTAAAAAAATATTTATCAAGGATGCCCATAAGCAGCCTCAGTGTGGTGTGGGCAAAAGTTTTAATCTGAAGTGAATCATTCAAGCATTCACTCAATCGGTCAGTTTAGGTATTCACAAAGCTTCCAATGCAGCTAAAATTTGCAAACAATTCCCTTAAATGACAGTCATTCATCATCATACACAGTGGTCCCTCGGTTAACGAATTACCTTCCATAAGAATCTTCAATTCGGTTAACGAAAAAAATTTGATTAACGAAATCCTTACGAACATCACGTTTTGTTGTGAGCATCAGCTGATGGGCTAGTCTGCCAATTCAGTAATTCACTAATCTTTTCTATGTTAACATTCATTTCCAGTGGAGTAAATATCAAGAAAATTGTGCTCTTTAATATTTGTGCAAATTGAATACTAAAATTTTAGTCTAGTGCAAACTATTGCATGTTTACATTCAAATTAATCACTATCTTATAAGAATTCCAGCAATGTAAATTATATTCTCCGCGGTCTTTTCTATGAAATTTTATAAGCAAAAAACAAAAACTCAATCTAAACAACATAAATAAACAAATAAATACTTCACCAGACCTTCAATGCTAACTGTCAAACATGTCACTGTCACCCCCCCCCCAGCAAAGGTTTCGTGGTTATACAGTAGGCTTTAAGTTTTTATCTTATATAATATCACAGACTAAAGTTAGAATATAATTTGCATTGCTCGAATCCTTGCATAACGGCACGCAGTCAAAGTTCTTCCCCATCCAAACAGGGTTAAACAGGGGTGTGTACTGGCACCAACTCTCTTTTCCATATTCTTGGCTACCTTCCTTACTTGTGCCAGTGCCAATTTATCCAGCAGGGTGGACATCGATGTACCAGGTGAAGGGGGGTCTTTTCAACAAAAGACAATTCCAGGCAAGAACAAAGGTGTCAGCAGCTTCCATTACTGAACTTCAGTATGCAGACGACCTCACCCTTGTTGCTCACACTGAACACGATATACAGAGATCCTGAACACTTACATGTATACACACTTTGGCCTTGAGGTGAATATATGTAAGACTCAGATTCTCTTTCAACCTGCCCCTGGTTCAGGCACACCTCCACCATACATCCAGCCTAATGGTACTACCCTCTCTAATGTTGCTCACTTTCGGTATCTCAACTCCCATCTGCCCACCACCACAGACATCAATGAAGAGATTTAGCATCAAATCAGATGTGCATCTCAAGCCTTTGGCAGGCTCCAAAATCGTGTCTTCAGCTGTAGGGAGCTTTAATTATCGACAGCTTCACTTATATCGAGCAGTGGTCCTCCCCAACGTGCTATATGGCAGTGAGGCATGGGTCACATACAGGAGGTACCTCAAGGCACTTGAAAGCTGTCACCAACATAGTCTACGTTCCATCTTCCGAGTTCGCTGGGAAGACAAGAAAACAAATTCCAGCATTCTTGCTGACACCAACTGTAGGAGCATCGAGGCTACCATTATCCATGAACAACTACGTTGGCCTGGCCATGTTACCTGCATGGACGACAGTAGACTGCCAAAGCAGCTACTTTACAATCACTTAACGAATAGTAAATGTAACGCCGGCGTGCAATTGAAATGGTATAGGGAAAGTCTTGAGACACACCGGAAAAAGAGCCAAATCGACATCATCTGGGAGTCTATTCCTCCACATCGTAACGCTTGGAGCACCACACGAGAAGGTGTCAATACTTTTGAGTTAGTCTGACTACAAACCGAGGCATACAAGCGCCAACGCCGGAAAGACGCTGCCACCGCCCCTCCCGCAGTAGATGGAGCTCTCCACATGTACAATGAATGTGAATGATGCTGCGGGTCCTGTATCGGTCCCTTTAGTCACCTCAAAACTCACCAACCCATATGACATCTCTAATAACTCATATCATTGTATAATAGCAGGATGATCGTCATACTCGATTCCGAGTGACAGTAAAGTAGTTCAGTAATAATAATAATAATAATTAACGGTTTATTGAAAAAGTTCTGCAGCCCAAAGGCTGAAAATATACATGGGACATAAATGACTTATTACATACATTGGTGGTTTAACAAAAGATTTCATTAGAGAAAGGTAAAGGAACAGACAGTGAACATACAGATTAAAGTTTACAGTAGAGGTAAAATAGATCATGTACGCTGAAGTGTTGAACAGCAGACACGTAGTGTAGTAGCTCCCTCACAGATGGTGTTATGAGAGGCCTAACGTGGTTTAGTAATTCCCTCACAGGTGGTGTTATGAGGGGCATCACATGGTGTAGTAATTCCCTCACAAATGGTGTTATGTGAGACCTGATGTGGTGTAGTAATTCCCTCACAGAGAGAGAGGTGTGTGTGTGTGTGTGTGTGATAGTAATAATAATAATAATAATAATAATAATAATTAACGGTTTATTGAAAGAGCATGGCAGCCGGAAGGCTAAAAATATAGTTACAAAATTTGGGAATGGGTCTCTTGATTTACAAATAATATACAAGAAACATATGTGATACAAATATGATATATAATAACTAGGTGGGGAGAAGGTTATACGACAGGGCATTTCAACAGTGACAGAGCAAAAAGTAAGATTGACTGGGAGTGAATACACTGGTTGATTACAAGTGTAAAAGAGTGTCAATGCTAGTATTGTGTGTGTGTGTATTGTGTGTGTGTGTGTGTGTGTGTGTGTGTGTGTGTGTGTGTGTGTGTGTGTGTGTGTGTGTGTGTGTGTGTGTGTGTGTGTGTGTGTGTGTGTGTGTGTGTGTGTGTGTGTGTGTGTGTGTGTGTGTGTGTGTGTGTGTGTGTGTGTGTGTGTGTGTGTGTGTGTGTGTGTGTGTGTGTGTGTGTGTGTGTGTGTGTGTGTGTGTGTGTGTGTGTGTGTGTGTGTGTGTGTGTGTGTGTGTGTGTGTGTGTGTGTGTGTGTGTGTGTGTGTGTGTGTGTGTGTGTGTGTGTGTGTGTGTGTGTGTGTGTGTGTGTGTGTGTGTGTGTGTGTGTGTGTGTGTGTGTGTGTGTGTGTGTGTGTGTGTGTGTGTGTGTGTGTGTGTGTGTGTGTGTGTGTGTGTGTGTGTGTGTGTGTGTGTGTGTGTGTGTGTGTGTGTGTGTGTGTGTGTGTGTGTGTGTGTGTGTGTGTGTGTGTGTGTGTGTGTGTGTGTGTGACGTGTGTGTGTGTGTGTGTGTGTGTGTGTGTGTGTGTGTGTGTGTGTGTGTGTGTGTGTGTGTGTGTGTGTGTGTGTGTGTGTGTGTGTGTGTGTGTGTGTGTGTGTGTGTGTGTGTGTGTGTGTGTGTGTGTGTGTGTGTGTGTGTGTGTGTGTGTGTGTGTGTGTGTGTGTGTGTGTGTGTGTGTGTGTGTGTGTGTGTGTTGACGTGTGTGTGTGTGTGTGTGTGTGTGTTGACTGACTGATGTGTGTGTGTGTGTGTGTGTGTGTGTGTGTGTGTGTGTGTGTGTGTGTGTGTGTGTGTGTGTGTGTGTGTGTGTGTGTGTGTGTGTGTGTGTGTGTGTGTTGTGTGTGTGTGTGTGTGTGTGTGTGTGTGTGTGTGTGTGTGTGTGTGTGTGTGTGTGTGTGTGTGTGTGTGTGTGTGTGTGTGTGTGTGTGTGTGTGTGTGTGTGTGTGTGTGTGTGTGTGTGTGTGTGTGTGTGTGTGTGTGTGTGTGTGTGTGTGTGTGTGTGTGTGTGTGTGTGTGTGTGTGTGTGTGTGTGTGTGTGTGTGTGTGTGTGTGTGTGTGTGTGTGTGTGTGTGTAATAATAAACGGTTTATTAATAGAGTTGCAGTGACTGAAAATATACAAACTCACATGTGATTTAGACATAAAATATACATTCAATACATTTACAGGGCTGTACAGGACATATCAAGAGCTGTTTATTATTTTAAATCAGATGGGATAGTGCTAGTCTTATCTCCATGGTGGCTCTTATGGGCTAGAGTGGCAGGGAACTGCAGGTGGCAGTAGGTGGCGATGACGAGGATGGTGCAGTAGTCCTGCCAAACCCTGCTAGTGTGTGTGGTGGTGGAGGTCACTGAAGGATGGCATTTCGAGGGTGGAGAGCATTGTTGTAGCCGGAGTAGTCTGCACGAGCATGATTCTGCAGGCCCTCTTCTTGCCTTCTCTAGCTGAGCGTTGTTGGGTAGAGTTGAAGAAGCGACTAGGCTGGTGATGCACATTATTTTGGGAGAATAAATGCATTGTATAGTCCTCTAGCTCTGGTAGGTGCCCAAGTGACCTGGTCTTAGTAGCATGTAGAGAGTCAATCACAGGGTTCTTAATTGTGTTGTTTACAAGGGCCTCTCAGTCCAGTTTGTTGTCTATAGTTACACCCAGGAGTTTGGCAGACTGTCATAACTGGCGAGGATAAGCACCCACTGTAACTGCTGGAGCTTGCACTGGAGTGGTGGTGGTATTGATGTGCGCTCTGGTTTTGATGTGATTGATGGTGACCTTGTTCTCCATAGTCCATGCCTGTAGCCCGTGCGTGCGTGTGTGTGTGTGTGTGAAGGGTGATGATGGTGTGGGTGATGTAAGGGTGAGGGTGGTTTTGGGGATGTGCGTGGGTGGTGTTGGAGGTGTCGTGGGTGGTGTTGGAGGGTGTGTGTGGGTGGAGTTGGAGGTGTGTGTGGGTGGGTTGGAGGGTGTGTGTGGGTGGAGTTAGAGGGTGTGTGTTGGGGTGGAGTTAGAGGTGTGTGTGTGTGGGTGGAGTTGGAGGTGTGTGTGGGTGGAGTTGGGTGTTGTGTATGCATCTATGTCCAAGCCTTGCATTCCAAACTGTCCTGAAAGATTCACCAAAGCAATCCATTAAGAAAATAAGGATCTACATGTCACTAAAGCAGATAAAGCCAACACAGTAGTGGTTTTAAACAAGATGACTATATCTAAAATGAATGACCTCTTATGTGATACTACCATATTTCAAACTCATAA